TTTAGCCTTTAACTTCTTTTTTTTTTTTCAAATATTTTTAATGTAGGCAAAACATTCGGGGACAGGAGCTGCAATTGAATTTGCGGTGCTACACCTAAAGGTGATTATATTAGTATAGACACTATTGTTAGATAGTGTTAGACACATCAGTTAGTTCGATTTTAGATTCAATTGTTAACTTAAACTAGCCGAACTTTACCAACTAATCAAGCTCGTTTGTTAAACAAGTCACCCAGCTTGTTCATGAACAATATTTTTTTTCTTTAAGTTTTTTCAAATTTAAATCAAACGCCTAAACTGAACTTGTCTCGTTTTTTCTAATTTTTTTAATACATATACACATGGGATTTCATAGCATTCATCCAGTAGAATAAAAAAAATGCATAATTTATGATATTTGATACTATGAAATTCAGTCCTACTAATGGACACAGAAATTTTCATTTATATGTTTAATCACTTTAGATTAATGTTATTAAATCATTTATTAATCAGCTTTTCTTTCTTCATTCTTTGACATTAATTTGATGTTAATGATAGGTGAAGAACATATTGGTCATTGGCCACAGCTGTTGTGGAGGTATAAAGGGGCTTATGTCCATTACTGATGATGCCACTAATAATAGGTATTTGTGTGATTATATTTGTTCTTCCAATATATATACACACATTTACTCTAATTTTGTAACAAATAGATAGAACCAAAGCCTTTTATTTTGGTTGATCATTTTTAGAGTTATGTTTCTAAAAGTAACTATATCTGATGGAAAAAGTAGGGTTGTCCAGCCATTAAAGTTGTGTTTGGTAAGTATATAAACTAACTTATATCTTATTTGATTAGCATATAAGCTTCATTAGTCAAATAAGTTTTGTTTGATAGGACGAGTTTTTTTAAATAGCTCGAGCATATTTCATAAGCTTTATTGGATAACTTTTCAAATAAGCCCATTAAAATTTTTATTTCAGCTAGCTTATCAGCTAATTTTACCAAACACTTTCGTCATATAAACTAGTTTTTCAGCCATAATTCATAAACTCTCAACTATAAATTCGGAATTCACTTAAAAATTATAAACTAATTTATCAGCTAGGTTGACCAAACATAGTCTTACTATCGGGTAATTATCCTGAAATCAGGGTAGTTTTTTTTTTTTTTTTTCAATAGAGTATAGTGTCCTATTATTTCATTATGTATAGTTCAATCAAAGGTTGACAATTAATTCCCTTTCTACTTGAAAAAAATTAGTGATTTTATAGAAGCTTGGGTCAAAATATGCAAAGCTGCAAAGGCCAAGGTGCAAAATGAATGCAGCAAAGTAGATCTCGACAAGCAATGCCGGCAGCTCGAGAAGGTGAACCCGACTCGGTTCATTTCTAATATTTATTAAAAATTCTATTCGTTAAATAGAATTTACTAGTTTCTACATAAAATGGCCTAACGGTTAGTCTAATCGACCCATCTAATTTAAATCTCTTTATTTATTTATTTATTTTTGTCACAGGAAGCTGTGAATGTATCACTAGGGAACCTATTAAGCTATCCATTTGTGAGGGAAGCTGTGGTCAAGAATACCCTTTCACTGAAAGGAGCACACTATGATTTCGTGAAGGGTACTTTCGACATTTGGGGCTTAGAATCTCAGGCATCTCCTTATTTGAGTTTACAATAAGTATGGTTATCATGGTGTGACCAAATCTATTAATATATAAAGAGGGAATGATAGTTTTTTGAAAAAATCAAAGAGAAAATCAGCAAAAAAAAAAATTCAATTCCCGCCTAAAGTTTACTATAATGAGAAAAGATTTGTTGAAAAGATTTAATATCCCGCCTAAAAATTAACATTTGTTGAATTGAGTTTGAAATTTTGAACTGTTTATTTCGGCTCTTTGGAAATAAAATCGGAGCTTTTCACGGTTTGGAGATAAAATAGGATGTGTAACAAAAATTTATGATGTTTATCCTTTTAAGAAACACAACTAAAACTTGATTATCTTCCCAATAAAAATGGACGATTTTAGATAATTTAATTAATTAGATTAATTTTCCCATTTTTTGTGCAAATAAAAAACTATTACTTTATTCAATTTAATCAAATAGTTTACCAATTTTAAATAGACAATTTCGCTTATGAAAATTTGTATGGTTTTTACTATTTTTGTTTCATTATCACAATTAAAATTATTTTTAAAACTAATTATCATTCAAATCCATACAATGTTCACACTTACAAACATTGTAAAAATCGCCAAAAGATTCACAAACATATGAATAATACACGTATTGCCACTGCGATCACAACTAGCATTTGAGGCATGTGGAGATGCTCATCGAAAATTGAAATGCTGACCAATGTCTGTTTAAAAAAAAAANTATCCTTCTACGTGCTTCGAGGTTTGTTGGGACATCAACTGCGGATTCTTTAACAGTAAGAAGCAAATAGAGGCGTCGTATCTGTGTGACAAGCACATAAAGCGGTTATTCAAATTTCTATCTTTTCCAGCACAGCAAGATGTTTCTAGTTTGCTGCATATATAGAATATTTAAGTGAAAGCATATTTCCACGTACTTGTTCTTCCCATTGTGCGGTATTTGGGGGAGGGAAGTTAATGCTAGCAAAAAGTTGATTTCCAACTTGACCAAGCTCGGCAAGTTCACTTCATCGAAGGAACAAAATTTGCAGAACTTAATCAGATAAGAGTAGTCTAAAAAAAAAAAAAAAAAAAAATGTATATGTCAACTCTATTGTGGAAAATATTAAATAAATCTCCATGATAACCTTAAATACTTATCTCTAACATACTAATATATGACACGTGTATATCTTATCCATATAAACTCATAATTTGGGTTTATCATCTATAATAGTATATGTTAAATTGTTATGCTTATCTCTGCATATATCAAGTTTATGCTTATCTCTATCTCAATAGATAAGACACGTGCTTATCTAACACATAAATCCATCTTCTATAAATATATCTTCAATTGCTTAGAGTATCATTTATTAACCAACGGTAAAATACTCAGCAATTCGTCTTCTTTAGCTTCGTTTATATTTCTTTTATTATCTACTACTGACTTTCTTGATGTTTTAGGGAAACTAATAAGAACAAATATGCTAGATGGAGAATTAAGAAGCCACACAACACTGAAAAAAAGTAAAGAAAGATAAGTCGCAAAGAAAGCAAACGAACAGAAGGCAAACGAGAAAACATCATTGAGCAAACGAGAAACTATCATTCCAGGTTTTCGTCACCTGATTTGCTTTGTCCATATTTCTTTTATTTCTGGTTAATATTGTCTATCCTTTATTCAAAACTATACACATATGCACTGAAAAATTATCAATTCTAAGTAGTCATTTATTGTCGATTTTCAGTTCTACCAGCATGATATTTGAGGGATATTAACAAGAACAAATATACGGAATGGATAATTCGGATGCCAAACGATGCTGGAAAAGTAAAGGGCAGACGAGTCGCAAACGTGAAAACATCATTCCAGTTCCAGGTTTTTAATGAAACAATAAGCTTATGTATTGTTTAAGTAATTATACCTATATACTTACTATGTAAATAAGATTGAGGTGCGGTTGACGTGTTTATTCTTGATCAATTTATAAGAACATTACAATTCAACTAGTGTATATCCCGTGCGATGCACGGAAGAGTTCATATTTTAAATATTTTTTAGACTTTATTTTAAATAAAATTATTTATATTTTTCACATCTCGTCTATTATGGAAATAAAATAAATACAATTAATGAAAAATATATAATATTAAATACTTTTCTTTATACAATATTTTTTATTTAAGGAATATTACTAAACCTTACGGTTTTGATTTGTGTTTTTAAATCAACAATCCAAAATATATGATTGTTAACGTAAAAAAAATAATGGAAATAATCCAGACTTTAAAGTAAAGCTATTTTTTATTATTTTACAAATAAAAATCTTCCAAATTTTTTTTTTTAATTTCAAAAAAAAAATGGCAAGTTTGATAATGAGTTAAATCAAGTTATACAAATGATTAAATAGTTAAAATGTTATATTAATTATATTTTAAAAAATCCGATTATATAAAAATGGGTAAAAAAACATTATACTAATTAGTTTGTTAGGATTGTGATTATATGGAAGTTAAAATAAAATAAAATTTAACCAAAAAATTTATTCGTGGTCTTTTCCTAAATGTTTGAATTTAAAATCTAGTAACCAAATTTACATTATATCACGTAAGGAAACAAATAAATAATAAATATTTATTAAAGAGATAAATCAATAATATTTATCACTTAGATAATAAATAATAAATATTTACATGTAAAAAAATAAATAATAATATATTTAAAAATATAAGTCAGAATTTCAAATAAAGTAAAAGGAGGGATAATTCATTTTTTAAAAAAGTTTCTAAATATTTAATATATTGATAAGTATCTCCATAAGAATAATCATACCATTTTAATTTTAAAAAAATTGGCAAGTTTGTTAGAGAGATAAAATCCGGTTAGACAAATGATTAATTTGTTAAGATATTATATTAATTGTATCATAAAATCTCGGTTAGATAATGTAGATAAAAAAAATATAATACTAATTAGTTTGTTAGAAATGTGATAATGAAAACCAAGATAAAATGAAATTTACCCAAAAAAGTTGTTTGGAATCTTTTCATTTAAATGTTTGAATTTACAAATTTAATACCGAAATTCTATTATATCACATAAGGAAAAAATAAATAATAAACGTTTATTAATATATTAAAATATGTAATTTTGAATTTCATATAAAGTAAAAGGTATGCTTATTCAAATTTATTTTTAAAATAAAAGTTATGATAAACATTTATTGATTCTCTTTCAAATATATTAATAAAATAAAAATATAAATCTAAACAAATTTTGAAACAACCAAAAAAATCGAATTGATTGGCATAAAAAAAAGGAAGTGAAATCGGATTTGAATGCTAAAAGATTCGATTTGATTGGTTACCTAATTGCATGGGCTGAAAAAATTCAAAAAAAAATTTTACGAATTGAAGAAGCGGGAAAAACACTATATTGAAGCGGGAAAACGAAATGATTATTTTCGGATTGTTCAAATAATTTTTCTTCTCCGTATTATATAGTAATAGATGTATAAATAATCGATATATAAAAATTTAGTACAATAATTACCTATCAAATGTTACATTCTTTTAGTTGTCAATCTGCCAATTTAACCTGATATCCCTGCCACAAACCTCATGCAGGAAAAATTTATAATAGATCAGATATCACACACAAAGATCAGATGAGCGATTGACATTTTTAATCTCGATATAATTATTGTGTATTTTCAGCTTGATTCTTTCTTTCATGCATTGTATCAATGAAACTTATTATTTCTCTAAGAAACTTACAAGCATGAAACATATCAAGGAAATCTATTATTACCTCTTAATCTTGATAGAGAACCAATGTATGTCCCCACCTGCTATTCATGTCTTGCGCCTTTGTTTGTATTGTTGGCGTTTACCTCATCGGAAAATATTTAATCACATTAGGTTATGTTATTATATATATATAAAACATTCTGGTATACAAGATGATACTAAAGACAAAAAAGATCAAGCTTATGAACAACATTATTCATGTGGAGCATATAGAAAACAAATCTTTTAAAAACAAGCAACATGCACACCACATATTTTTAAAGAGTCTACATAAAAATCAAATTGTTAATAACTACAACATACTGTTTTCTTTTTTTATACCAGTAATTTATAGATCTAGGTTATTCTATAAATTTACACTGTAGATATTAAAGAGCCGGACATAAGAATCCATTTGTAACATACAAACAATATTTGTGTTTATGAAATGTGGTTCGATGAACTCCTATTTTATAAAATCGATATATTCATATGAAATTTACAAAATAAACATTAACATCTAATTTTTTTATTTTTTTTTTTAGTTTAGTAAAATCTGCAAAATTACGAAGGCTTTTAAGTTATTAAAACAACTAACTCATGCTGGATTTTAAAATTACCTATGTCGATCCCACTTTGTATCTCGACTAGACCAACTTTAACATATTTGGCCGGTGAGTGATTTTTCGAAACCGGTCGGGCTATCGAACTTGGGGGGTCTGAATTGCATTACGAGTCGCGCCAATCTGCGATGAATTGCCGAGTAAATATATCAGATCTAGACGCGCCTGTGGTTGGGATCAGGTAAGAGAATCAGCTAAAAAAAGAAAATGGGAAGAGGCATTACCTTTCCGACAAAATGGAGCGGTCTTCCTTTGAATCGCTTGCTGGAGCCATCGTCAACCACCAGCTCCCGCTATCCTCAGGAATTGGCCGGATTTGAAGATCTGGCGAATGGGTTGGCCAGAACAAATGAAAATACGAAAATTAATGTAAATATAGAACATAATAGGTTTGCCCGATTTGATTTTCAGACAAAAATATGGAATTGAAGAAAATTGAGTTGGTGTCAATTATAAATGGGCGTGTCAATTCTAAATGGGTGTGTTGTGTTAACACGTCATGCGCTCCCGAAATTGTTATTTTGTGCAGAAAAAAAAATGAGATAAATCGCCCCTTTATATGTTATATGATAGTATGATATTTTATGGGCTTTTAGAAATAAGGCATATTCAGCTCCGTTAGTAGTCTATGTATAGCCCAATTATTTAATACCTTTGGGCTTAAACACAAGAATATAAATTATGTTACGTATTAATTGATTATTATTACAATTTATAATTATTATTTCAATTATCATAAAACACTTAATATATCATAGATCACTAAATACATACCTTATAAATATTTTTTCGTTTAATTTGGTTCATATGTTTGTATTCATATTAATAAAAAAGAACAATTGTTAGATTCAAATAGATATTCATCAATATATGTGCTAATATTAAACATTATTTATTGGTTAATATATATATTTATTCTTGGTGATTAATTAACTATTAACTATATCCTTATCAATTCATTTTCACA